GCAGGAATGATTAGAGATTCCTGCAGGGATGTTGGTTAATATCAGTGTCTTTCTTCCAACTAGTTTTGCACTTACATTTCTCAAACTAGCTGGATGTGCTGCCTCAGCTGGTTGACAAACACACAAACATATGCAGTAACTTAAAGCAGTCATTTAAAGCCCATAATGTTCATTAACACAGTTGACAAACAAATATACAGAACTTTTAAATTGAAAAATTATTAAAACCAGAACCCAGAAGGGTCCAAGAGGCTTGTCACGTCCCTGCTTTTTTTTTTTTTTTTTTTTTAGTCTTTTTGGGACCGCAGACACCTGCCATCAATTCTTGTAACAGTTTCTTGGAACAGTAGATGCAAAGCAACAAAAAGATACTGGCCACTGAATCTCGTTTGTTCTTACGTTAGAAGGGGGAAAATTATACAGCCGTGCCTTGCTTTGGCATGGCCCAATAATGTTACACTCTCAAGATCTCCAGACAGTTGTTGTAGCAGATAGCTATCCAGTCCGGCTGAGTTGATGCCCACTGTACATTGTTGATTTCTCCTTCTGCTGTATAGGCCAGGATAGGATCCTCAATGGCTCGAGGCATTTGCTGAATATCCCAGATGAGAGCCTGATGGTCATCAGCTACAAACAAGTAAGAAAATCAGAATTAGAATTAATACCTCCGAGTTGGGTACTAACTTCTTTATATGGCTACTTAAGGGGGGGGGGGGGGGTGGTGCATATTCTCAAACAAACAAACTAAAAAAACCCAGACTCAGACAATGTATAAGATGAATCAGGTAGTCCACATGATAACAGGCTAGGTCACTTCAACTATTCAAGAGATGAGTCTCTTTCAGAGAGACCATCTCATTACAGCCTATCACACCAAGGGTTGGCAATTATTTGGGCTATTTCATAGATTTCACAGACATTAGGGCTAGAAGGGCTCTTGGAAGATCATCAAGTCCAGCTCCCTGCCCCAGGGGCAGGAAGCCAGCTAAGGTCAAAGGACCCCAGCAAGATAAACATCCAAATGTTTCTTAAAGGAGTCCAGAGCAGGTGCTTGCGCTACCTCTGGAGGCAGTCTATTCCAGGCCTTCGACAGTAAAAGATTTTTTTTTTTTTTATGTCCAGCCTGAAACAGTCTTGGAGGAGTTTGTGACTGTTTGACCTTGTCATCCCTTGAGGTGCTCTGGTGAACAGACGTTCCCCCAGATCCTGATGTACCCCCCTTATGTACTTATAGGCAGCTACCAGGTCCCCCCTGAGCCTGTGCTTTTCCAGGCTTAAGAGTTCCATGGCTCTCAGCCTCTCATCATAGGGCCTATTCTCCTGCCCTCTGATCATGCGCGTGGCTCTCCTCTGGACTCTCTCAAGCTTTTCCACATCCTTTTTAAATTGTGGAGCCCAGAATCGGATGCAGTACTCCAGCTATGGCCTCACCAAGGCCGAGTACAGTGGGAGGATAACATCCTGGGATTTGCTTGAGAAGCATCTATAGATGCAAGCCAGAGTTTTGCTCACTTTACCAGCTGAGACATCCCATTGGTGGCTCATATTCATCTTGTGGGCCACTTAAGGAGTTCTGGTGAGCTGCTGAAAGCCAGGTCAGTCAGAATCCCCCTCCCCACCATGACTACATCTCAGACTTCTTAAATGGTTCTGTTTTGGGGCCCAGCCCTGCACTGTCATCACCAGGCAATCCCTGCTCCAGCCCTGGGGTCTCCATAGACAGACCTGTGTGGCCAGGGCATGCTCAGTTGGGTGGATGGAATGGGGCTGTGGGTGGGCAGCAAGCAACATTTGGGAGCAGGGTGGGATCATGGAGTGGGATCAAAGGGCAGCTACAGCGCAGGGCCAGGGCCCAGGGCAGAGCCATAATCCATTCCCTGCACGCCCTGGCCTGTGGAACCAGTGCCCATACACAGGGATGTGCAGGCAGCAGCTCATAGCTCTCCCTTGGGCCTCAGTCCTGCACTGTCACTGCCCTGCGATCTGGCCCCAGCCTTGGCTCTTCCTTGCTCCCAGATGCTGCTCTCCACTTGCCCACGGCCCCATCCCATTTGCCCAGCTGAGCATACCCTGCCTGTGTGGGTCCCAAGCCGGTCTCCATGGAGACACCACCCACCCACTCCATCTAGCACCCCTGGCAGCATGGGGCAGACAGGGTGGGGTGCTAGCAGTGACAGTGACACTGGCAATGGCAGCTGCCAGGACTGCCATGAAGTGAAGCCCAGCTGCCATGCTGCCCCAGCCCCACTGCTCTGCCCAGGGGTGGTGGGACCAGCCACATGCACCATGGCCAGGGCTGCCCTCGGTCAGGTAGGACCAAGGGACCTACTACAGGCTGTATACAATCCCTTGGCAGGCTGGACCCAGCCCACAAGCTTTTTTTTTTTTTTAATGCATCCTTGTGTTACACATTATCTTACAAACTCATTACCACATTTACCATAGCAGCCAAAGGAAAGCGTGGAAGACTTAGTAAACATTAGGTTAGGTGAAACACTAAACGTAATGGAGGGAACAATCTTGCGTTGACTAAGTCGATGGTTCAGATGTGACTGTGACAGCTGATCTTTCTGATCTCTCAGATCATTTTACATTTTCCGTTCCATGAGACTAGTTTCTGGACTTGGGTGCAGTTAATAGTAACTTCATTAGGCGTACCCCTCACACATCACCAAACCTAAGATACAGCCTAAGGCAGTGAAGCTCAACCTTTTAGAGTAGTAAGTAGGTTGGGTGCTGGCAACCAGGCTGCACCATGGACCACCACTCCTTTGGTGGAGAGGTGGGGGGAGGGGGGCAGAAAAAGGGAGAGTTGGGCAATGACCTTCTTCTCTTATATCAGAGGGACTGGAGGGAGACAGAAAGTGATCTTCTCTCTAGTAAACACTGCCTGTCTAGGGAAAAGGGGAAGGAGAGAACAGGGAGGGCTGAGGGCAATCAGTGACACTGTGCAGGACAGGGCAGGGGATGCACTGGGTTAAGCTGCTAGCTGATGATCTCCCATATTACAGGCTGCATAACATCACTTTTGAAGACAGATCTGGCCTGTGGGTCAAAGGGTGAGCACCATTGGTTTGAAGGGTTTTAACAAAGTACTGAACCTTTCTACCTTGCATGCAAATGGCATACTGTATCTTCTGAAAAACAGCCTCCCAAGATGTTCAGCATGTAGCAGTGCTTAATTTTTCCCAAATTAAGAATGCAGACATGATACACCATTAGCAAAGTCTTTAATCACAAAGAGAAGACGACCTTTTAAAATAATCTGTGTAGCTGTTACACTTTAAAAAGCATTCTCTACCAAACTGCTCCAGCATTCCCAAATTCAGAGAGAAGCCAACTCCTTTATGGTTCAGACAATTTAGAAGCAAATTCTCAAAGTGAGAACCCAGTGCCCAAACTGCTTATGATGAAGTAGTTTCAGAGTCTTTCCCAGAATTTTAGAAAGTGTAATTTGGGGGACTGGGGGAACAGGACAGCACAGGGGAAGCACCTACAAACACCTGGAAATGTTAGGGGTCCTGGTTTTTTTCCTTCTTCCTTAAAATCCTGGAGATATTAATCCTAATGGAAAGGATAGTAAGACTCTGCAAGAGGGTCACACATTTAAACAGCTCCAGTGTAGAGAAGGATCAGAGACAGAGGAACAAAGAACAAACCTCTCCCCATACTTACCTGCCGTACAGATATGGCAGGAAGAGTGAGGTGCCCAAGCAATTCCATTCACACATGCTCTGTGGTTGTTTAGCCTGGCAACAGGAGTGCAGGGAACTCTGACATCAAGAATCACCACCTTCAGAAACAAAAAGTTTTTCTTCAGGAAAGAAGTGAACACTTTCAGACATTTTGGCAAACAGCTGTAAATACAGCCCTGTCTCCAAAGACATGTATGAATAAAAAGAAACACTTTTAAAAGCATATGCTTTTCCTGGTCTCCTGCAAAGAGTCAGAACTTACATTGAATGGAGACCTTGTAAAATAGGTAACAGAGTAAAGTACAAAGTTACAATTTCAGAGGGATACAGCTGGTGTCAAGGCATGAAATAAAACTACAGTGCTTTTTTCTATTAGACTTGGATGAACTAAAACCTACCTTAAGTTTCTATATAAAATGCTATCAGCTGAGAGGCTTAAGAACTACCTAGGGACTTTTCAGATCTTCAGGCCGGTAGCATCCCAAAACCTTTACTCCTCTACATCTAGGGGGTTGGATTAGACAAACTCCTGAGGTCCTTTACAACCCTCATTTTCTACGATCCTATTAAAGTCAATGGAACAATCCATAGCCCTCATCACTATTGCTGCGTATTACATATGCACATAATAGTCAGACACATGAAATCAAATTTGCCTTAACAAAAGAGCAAGGGAGTACAGTAAATGAGAACAGTGATTTTTTTCTCTCAACTGGTTTAATGTTAGAACATTGGAAAGTTCTATAGGACGAAAAAAATCTTGCCAAATGTTTCAGCAAGAAGCTCAACTGAGAAAAAAAGTCTTGTCTACAGTCCTCTCTCTGTGCAAAAGGGTGCTTGGTGCTCCTGTCACTTTAAGAGAAGAGGCTGCTTGGAAAGCAGCCTTCAGGTGTGGCAGGAGCCTATTAGGGAGTTAGCAGACAGGAAGGGTACTGGGCTTGAGGCATACAAGTCTAGGGCCTGAGTTAGTCAGGAGCCAGAGAGAGAGAAAGGGGATCTTGGCAGTAGCCCTGGAACAGAGATCCTACTATAGCATCTAAGCTGGGGTAAGCTCTGGGGGTTTGGGGAAGGGACTAAGGGGAGGTAAGGAGGTCCCAGCTAGCCTAGAAAGAGAGGGGCCAGAAGGAAAATGGGGCCTGAGGCCCAGAGGTCTGTAGCCCAGGAGGGGCGGTTGATAGCAGGGCCTGGGAGCCTGAAGGTCTCACTGGCCCAGAAGCAGGGGCTAGGGCCTGGGAGGGGCCAAAGTTCAAGGACCACTGCTGGATACTGTTGGGGTCACAGGCTTGGAGATCTCAACTGGCTTAGGAGTGGGGCCCAAAGCGAAAGCAGGGGTGGGAAAAATATGGCACATGGGGTGGATCTGGCCTGTGAAGGGACTTTTTCTGAACCGTGGCAGATCCCTCAGTCCCTCCGGGCCCAGGCACCATCCACCCTTGGTGCATCCCGCCACACCCTGGGCATGCAGTAGGGCTGGGGCAGCTCTGCAGCTGGACTGCCTTTGTAGCCTGCCTAGCTGGTGATGGCTCCTTCTGGCTACCACTGCTGCCATGGGCCCAGCCCTGTGGTGCTGGTAGAGACCCACACACACAGCCCTGACCCCAGCCTACCCTGTGAGTAGGGTCAGAAATCTGGAGCACCAAAAGCAGTGGTTGCCAGCAGAGCTAAGAGAGCCCAAAGGTCTCACCTGGTCCAGAACTGGGGCCAGGGTCTAGGGAGACCAAAGGTCAGGGACCACAGCCAGAGACTGAGGGGATCAAGGAGCCCCTAGCCCAGGAAGGACACATGTTAGCACGTTATCTGCAAGGCGTGGGAGCGGGCACTGAGGAGAATGAAGCCCATGTAATTAGCCCTTAAGGCAATGACCATGGGCACCTGTGGTCATAGGCGTAAGACCAGGCTTGGGAAGCCCTGGGACAATGTCCCTTTCCTCAGACATTAACAACATGAAGGCATGGCAGGTAAATAAGTAAAAGGGAGAGTGCTCAAAGGGAGCCAGGTTAGCAAGGGCTGAGTGGCCACCGGGGGTACATCGCAACCATCCCTGGGACAAGCATTTACTACAACCAGACACCCAATCTTAAGCATTTATATTGGGTATTCTCCTTCAAAAAACTAAGCCTGATAATCAAGCGCTGACTGAATAATCTGAAAAAGAAAAATACCAAATTCAACAAGAATAGAACCAGTGATTTACCTCCATGCCATCCATGGCCATTGTAGCAAGGTAATTAGGATCCTGCTTGTTCCAGCAAAGGCGTAACAATGGATGGTGCTGCGGGTCCTCATAGATAATGGTGCTATGTTCCAGATGACGGAGGTCAAACATCCGCACGGAACCATCAGCACCAACTGAAGCAAACATATCTCTCCCCCCACCTGCACGGCTAAATGCAATGTCATACACCTGCACAATAAAAGAGGAGGAAACGATTTCATTGTTTTAAGACAAGTTTTGCTTTCCATTTCTCCACTATCAAAGAATGACCCATTAATCTTTTAATCCATAACAGTAAGAGTATTACTCATGCCAATTCAAGAACATTATGTCAAAGTAGCACTTGCTCTGCTGTAGGTAGTATGAGATGGGAATACTAGTCACACAGATGCAGAGGCTTTTTCAGCCTTTACTGAAATATAACCAGGCCCTTTGCACTCTAATATATCACCATTACATAAATATAACCCTTGCAGCTGAATGACGTATTTTAATGGTTGCCTCCATAAATACAAGACTTTGGGCTACGATCCAACATAGTCTCAGTTTACTACATGATGTGCCCTATATCTGGAAAATGGACCAAGAGAGCTTTTCCATCTCATGTATCATTAATAAATATTTATTATGTAAAACATTTGTTTCTACTAGGGAATTTGCTGTGAATAATAAGAAATACCACAGATACCATGATATGGTAAGTATTTAGTACAGAAGTGCTCACAGAGTTGAGATTTAGTGAGATGTAAAAAACTATGTGATCTAGCCTGTTCCCTAAATCAAAATATATTCCTGGGGAGAACAACTTTGATGTACATACATTTTAAAATATCTACCAACATTCAAGACTTTGAATGACATTATGACACCTCTGTATTTGGAGTAATTCATGGAGAAAATGAAGGAAAAGTATCACCTCAAAAAGTAGATTTACTGGAAAGCAAGAGAGCACACAATTGGACAAAGGGGAATAAGAAGTTTTGTTGAGGAGAGCCTGGGAATATGTGCATATGAAGAACTTTTTTGTTTGTGGATGCATACATAAACAAACAACTTAAACACACTTCAGAGTATGACTCAACAGATCAGTCTTGGTTCTTGGTACTGTGTACCAATGGCTGGCATAGAAGCCAACATCACACACTTAGTTGTTCAAGAGAACTCTTTCAGGTGAACTATCTATAAGTTGTAAACAGGTAATTGGCTATAAACAGGAAATTAGTTATTTAATTTTCTCTGAAAGTCAGGCTCTTAAGTCTCTCCATATATAGATGAGATATTGTAATCAGATTTTTACATTCAACTTGAAGCAGGGGAATTGGCACAAGTATAATGAAACGTATGTGGTTGAAACTTATACGAACAGGCTGTTAGCTAACGACCTCCTTTTTCCCCCCTGCTCCATTATCAGCCCATAATTACAGAGAGTTTGGTAAAGAGAATGATTAGCATAATCATTCTACACTTTTTTCATTTTTAAAATGGAGAAATTATTTGTTTCCAAATTGTTGTATTTTTTAATATCTACCTTACCCAAATTTCCTTGTGTTCTAAGCGTCAACACTACAAGAGCTCTCAGAACTGTAGATTTATACAAATATACCCAATCCTCACATATTACAGTTAGATGCAGTATTTTTCAGGAAACATGTGCTTATTAATCTTAATCTTTATAGAGATGAATTGGAGCAGGAAAGGATCAAAACTGGAAAAGCCAATTTAATTGTCTGAAAGCTTCCTGCCTATTTATTAGTCTTAATCTGAATGACTACAGAAGTCCTGCTGTTTCAGAAAATAAAAAGAGGCTGCCAAAGACGCCAGTAATGCTCCCTGGAAAGTTAGGGGAAGTCCCAAGAAATTAAGAAAACTTTCCCCCTACTACATCAGAATGGTGCCTGTATACAACTCTATTCCCTTATGCAAAGAGCTAGCAGGAAAACATTTGGAAGAGACCAAAGATATTATAACAAGCCCTTAACTTTAAAAACCTCTTCTGATGGACAGGGATTTTATATGCCTTAACTGCATGAGAAAGGATTTCAGGATCAGGCTAAGTGTAAAAAAAGAAAAGGAAGAAAGACTGCACTACAGGATTGTTTGGTTCCATAACTGTATTTTTAAGGTTTCTCATCTTAGGTTTCTTAGCATTAATCTTGAGAGGAAAAATTAGAGGATGGTAAAAATTAAAACACACATTCTTAAACTTTTACTGCCTATAATTACTGATGCACTTTCAATTTTAACTACAGTTTAAAGTTTTGTCTGCATGTATTCTACAAGTCTAAACAGAATAAAACCAGTTTATTGTGAGGTGCCACTATACAAGATGACTAGCAGCAGACACACAAAACTGAGGTCATCAATAAGATAAATATCTCAATTTTAGACAAATGTGTCATGTGAAATGCAAGCATGTTTTCAGAAGAATCTAAGAATCTAAAAAAAAAATCCCAAGGAAAATGCTGTCCGCTCTATGTCACTAACAGATGTAACAAAGGCAATAACAGGAATAAGAACAGAAAGAACAGTATCACCTCTTTGTCATGTGCAATAAGTTGGGTCTTGACATGGCCAGACACTAGATTTACTCTTCCCAAGACCTGCCCTGTTTCCAGACCCCAGATAGTACAGGTGGTGTCGATACTAGAGGTACCTAAAACAAAACAAAAAAAGTTACCATCGGTGTTAATATGTACATTACCATAACCTAGAAGACTAAGTGATTAGATAATGTACTTGAGAGCTACTGATGCAAGTGTCATGATCAGGGATCCGGGTTTTCTGTCTCCTGTTTTTCCGTAAACTGCGGATTTTACCTTTTACTGGAGGCAAACAAGGATTTCTCGTTTTACCAAAGAAAACCACAGATTTTGCAATTTTGCAGTGAGCTCCCTGCTGGCTGGCAGAGATCCAGCCTGCAGGGAGCTTGGAGGGAGCAGGAGGAAGGCAGTGAGAGAGGGGACACCACGTGCATGTACATGCACATGGCCCCAGGCAATCTGCAGAGCAATTCCAGCAGGTAAGTGGGGGAGGGGGAAAGAAGAGGGGGATTGAGGCCCCTGTAGGAAGGGAGGGAAGGAGCAAGCTGTACAGGGCTGGGGTTGCTGCCCAGCCCGGTGGGGCTTGGGGCCACAATTGTCAGCTCCAGGGCCCCAGTGGGGAGCAGGATGGGGCTGCAGGTGGCTCATTGGGGGGAGGGGGAGGACCAGCTCCTCGCTGTTGTGTGCACTTCCGAGGGGCAGGGGGACCCATGCCCCCCCGATCTGTATGTGAGGCAGGCGCAGGCTGCAGCTCCTGCCTTGCTTCCCTCCCCTGGGACCTCCACAGCCCAGCAGGCATGACACGGTGCAGCAGGGCCGCATGGGGATCTCCTCACTGCTGTGAGCTCTGCTCTGTCCTGGAGATGTGCCTCCTGCACATGCCGCTGCTTTGAGGAGTGCCACCCCATGCCACTGCCCTCACTGCAGCCCCGTGTTCAGGAGGTGTGTTGCCAGGGCAGTGTGGCGGGAGCAGCAGCGAGCAGCTTCTCCGCATGTCTCCAATGTTCCCTGCTGTGTTGGGTCACACCCACTGGGCTGCAGAGGCCCTGGGGGAGGGAAGCAGGGTGGGAGGGAACAGCATGGCTGAGCAGAGAAGTTGCTTGCCGCTGCGAGCTCTGCACTGCCCTGGTGATGTGCCTGCTGCTCACAGGGCTGCAGTGAGACCAGCGGCATGGGGTTGTGCCCCTCAAAGCAGTGGCACATGGAGGAGGCGCATCACCAGGGCAGCAGAGAGCTCACAGCCGTGAGCAGCTTCTCCGCATGGCTCTCCTGTTCCCTGCCATTCCAGGTCGTGCACACTGGGCTGCAGAAGCCCCAGGGGAGGGAAGCAGGGCAGGAACCTGAGCTTGCACTTGCCCCATGTACAGTACTGGGAGGCGCGGGTCCCCCCGTATCCCCCTGGGAGTGCGCGTGGGGGCAGGGGGGCGGCCTTTCCC